GGAATAAATCCCCTTATGAAAATTCGAACTTGGGAGGCACTTTTTCTTTTAAAATTTATAGGACTTCTCGTAGATTGCTGACCGCGCTGACCGCGCTGACCTTACCACCACGGATCCCTGAGTTATCCCGTCGTCGAGGCTCCGAAAACGCATATCGTTCCAACGGCACACAAATTCCCCGCATAACCCCATTTTATCCAAGATAAAAGCAAATGCTTGACCCGCGTTTCGAACTAGGATAATATTTTATAACGGTACACCTTCAACAAGATAAAATATAATGATGTTAAATATATTTATTTGGTTACTTATCAAACAGGTAGATATCTTTTGTTATGTGTAAGTACAGTTTATACGAATTGTACAAATATCAAATACGAAACATCAACACCAGACTACACCAAACTGGGGCTATAATACTGACTACGAATCTGACTCAATATTATACAATAAGGAGTAAATAAATGTGAACTAGTACACCTCCAACAGAATAAAATAAAATGATGTTAAACGTATTTATTTGATTACTTATCAAAGAGCTAGATACATATTATTATGCATAAGCTGTACAGTTTGTGCAAATTATAGAAATATCAGATAGCGAACTACACCAATCTTGGGCTGTAACGAGGACCTCAAATCTGACTCAGTATTATACAAGGAGTGAATAAATATCAAACTAGTACATCTCCAATAGAATAAAATAAAATGATGTTAAACGTATTTATTTGATTACTTATCAAACAGCTAGATACATATTATTATGCATAAGCTGTACAGTTTGTACAAATTATAGAAATATTAAACAGCATGCATCAACACCAAACTACACCAAACTATAATACGAGCCTCGAATCTGACTCGATATTATACAGCAAATTATACATAAAGATTAAAATGATCGTTAATAAATGAATTGAACTGGTAGAATGAACTAAACGATATCAGTCTATAAAGAGGTTGTTTTCAAAGACGTTGGTTGGCACGAGAGCAGAAAATCGTGAAGCCTTTTATGGTCGATACGGGGAACCTACTTTCGCGCGACGAACGCCATCGAGGTCTTTAGCGCGAGCGAAATTTACGTAACAATGTAATTTCATTTCGCGCGCAGCCGAAAGCACTATTTTACACGGGTGTCGGTCCTATTATATATTCATGCGATATTTCGCATACATCGTATCCCACGGCAGACGCCGCGCGTCGACGTCGACTTTATTTCCTGCGAAAAGTGACTGAAGGACGTGACTCGGCGCGAACGTTCTGTCATAACTTTTTAATACCTACTGAAGGTGGACGACTTTATCGTAAGCTGCAGGATATTAGGAGCGTGGCTTTAAAAGACGAATAATATCGGGTATCGTCGAATACCATCGGCCTGGTCCTTGTGTCCAGGCCCGTGTGCACGCTCGGGTAGACTTCCAACAGGAAGTAGTTAAATGTTACCGGTGTCAGGGCACGGCCTTTGTGCGGAGAGAGTGCTCGGGCTTCGCGGAGTTAGCTGACTGGCAGAGTACTATAAATTACATAAATGAAGTAAGCCCCTTCCTCACTCAAACGGACGTCTTGCCAAGTTTATAACTTAATCACTCGTGCTTTTCATGGAGGCGGAGAAGCTAAAGGGTCCAGGGGCGAGTAGATAGTGTAAGTTCCAGGAGGAAGAAGGTGCCGGCGTAGGGAAGAGGGCGACGCGGAAGTAAGAGGAACGCCGCGGCCAAAGAATTGAATAAGGGAGACGAAACGAAGAAACAAGTCCGGATAATTGAATCCGAACGCATTTTACTTTACTGTTTTACTACCGTCGTTGCCCCTTTACGACGGCGTTCTGTTATTTGGCTGACGACTGCGGAATATTAGTGACGAAACGTGGACGAGCAAATTCTTGAGGGTGCACGGAATAGACGACCTGGAACTTAATCGACCTGGGTTTTTGGAATATTATCTACCGGGATTCCTGGGTTATTAAGTTGCTCAAAAGACTTTGTAGGCCTTATTTATTTAGTTATTACTTATTTAGTTAGTTAAAAACTTGTTTTTATAGTCGTGATAGAGAGCAGAGCTTACAAGATGAGCAATATAAATTGCAAACCTGATTTTTGAACGTAGATATTTGAGACTCATAATTAGAATCAGTTGCAATCTAATATATTCGATTATCCTTATGGGCACTCTGGACGAGATGAATATTTTACAGAATACTAAAAAGGGATATATATTCATTTATCATTTTCAACCTCTCGACTGAAAGAAGGCTTGCATTAATTCCCACCTTTTTTTTATATCTACAAATCAATCTTTTACTAATTTAAACTTGCACGGAGTCGTAGGGAAAAGGGTTAACGTTCCGATTCGCGCGTCATAAATAAACAGAAAATGTAAATCGAGATCGATCGACGCTAATTACGCGAACAAACTGGTCGAAAACGTCCGCGTCGACGGGGGTGCCCCCCGGCTCTTCTAATGTAATTTAATCCGGCGCACTCGTTCCATTTCCGGTGTAAAATTTAAGAGCACGGAAGGGCAGAGGGGGAGGGGGAGGGGGAAGGGATGAATGCTCGAAGAATCGCGAGAGCTGTCGACTCGCATTCGACTCCGGTATCCATCGGCTGTGTTTAATTACGAGTCACCCGGCGTAGTTTCGCTCTCAGACTGCTTCAGCACGGAAGCACTAACTCCTGGTTATCTTAAGCGACATCGCGCACTGGATTCGTATAACTCGCGCCCGGCCGGATAACTTGAGCCTGAATTACTACACCGCGCTGGAGACAGCGCAGCGGGACGAAGGTTGACGAAGAACGGAGGGGGAGGGGGGCAGGGGGCGAGATTAAAATCACCTGGAGACCAATGCAAAGTTTTTAATAACCCTTGATGCTTGATTAAGTTATGACTCTTCGCCGGCTCGTCGCTCCTCTTTCTCTTGTTCGTCTTCGGGCGAAATAAATTTCGAGCAGAAATGCTTAGACCGCGCTCGAGTGAAACGGAGGGGGAGGGGGGGGGGGGCAAGGCACGAAGAGGGTGACCGGGAAGGAAGCAGAACTCGTCCGACTCTGCTGAATTAATGGAAGATCCGGCGGGATAGTTATCTCCGCGGGAGAACGCATGGAAGTTACGTTAACTTGGACGTTTTTAAGCTCGAAGAATTACGGCGAATAAAGGGCGTTCGTCGGAACTCGGCAACGTATTTAAAGCGTCGGTTTAAGATTCATTCGAATCCGGTAACTTCTGCTAGCGTTAACTGAGGATCCTGCTTATTAAAGAATAGTTTACGCAACGATGTTCCGCCGTAGGAATTTATTAACGCAGTGGAGCCCTGTATAACAGGGAAACAAATAAATTCGTGCGAGCTACGGAATTTCATTACGGTGTGGCCAGACTGGCTTAGAAACGTTAAAAAGACATTTTTCTCTTGGACGCTGTCGATTGTAGCTTTTCTTCAGCTTTGCGCATTTATTCAAGAGAGAAGAAGGTTTCTTACACGCTGGTATTATTTACATTTTATCAATTCAAAATATGAAAATTATTATGAAGAGAATATTGAAATTTCTTGAGACGACCGTGTGTAACGTTTAACTTACCACGGAAGTTACAAAATTTCAATGTAGTTTGTAAATTTTTTCTATGAAATTATAGTACTATGTATGCACATTTAGACTATAATTATTCAATATTTTTGTACTGATCTTTAAAATCCACGCTTTAAGAAAAGGTATGCGTCATAAAAGAGAAATATATCTTATGAATAAACTTCAAAACACAACACTCTATACGTATGATGCAAACATTAGGTGTACGTTGCTTCGTAAAAGTAAAAAAGAAAGACTGGTCATTTGACCGGTCATAGTAAGAATGAGGATACAGGGTGCTCTGCTACCCCTGGGAAAAATTTTAATGGGAGATTCTAGAGGCCAATATAAGACCAAAATCAAGAACATCAATTTCTTGTTTGAAGCTTCGTTAAAAAGTTATTAAAAAATTACATTAAAAAATTTCAAATCATTCTGGAAAAATTATTTTCAGTTGCGGGGGTCAATTACAATCAATTTTGGCAAATAGACCTAACCCCGAAATCCTACGCACTTTCGAGAAAAAAATTCGAGTAGGTGTGAAATTTTTTGGCAAAATTAAAAAATTTCAAATCGTTTCAAAAAAATTATTTGACTCCAAGAGTCAATTACAACTATTTTTAGTTAATACACATACCTCGAAATCCTACGTACTTTCGAGAAAAAAATTCCTTACCGAAAATATAATGTCTAATCATACCGTTGATATGTTCTACTGAAATTTCGTGCAAAAAGCAAACAACGCATATTTTGGTGAAGAATATGTAGAAATTCTTAAAATATTCGTAAAGTTGATCCTTAACCCCGTAAAGTAACGAAAACCCCAAAAAGTGGTCCAATTTTCAAACAACCATAACTCCTACAATATTGAATATATTTCAATAAAATGTTGGGAGCAAGTACAGCTCATGGATACCTACAAAAAAGTATTAAACAACTTTTCCGTACAGCGACAAACAAAATTATTAAAAATAGTAAATGAATTTTTAAGAAACCGACGGAGGTCAGGTGCCTAAATTTTTCGGTGAAAAAAAAATTTTCGAATCAATATAAAAAAATTATTTTCGGTTGTGGGGATCAATTACAATCATGTTTGGTGAATAGACATACCCTCCAAATCCTACGCACTTTCGAGAAAAAAATTCATTACCGAAAATATGATGTGAGGCCAGAAATGTTTCATTAATACCCTAATTTATAGGAACTTAGTTTTTAGCAGTATAAGCAATAGATAAAATTGAACACCGTGAAAGATTCACAAGAGCTTGTACAATAAATTAACCTGTTGCCAGACTCTAGTAATTTAGTAAGAGCTTTCGTATCCGAAGTAGTTCGCGTTGTTTCATTTACATCGCCATCGAATGTTTTGATTTCGTAATAAATCAATTCGAGCGGAACCGATGGCGGATTAATACACGACACCTGTTCTTTCTGTTTCAGGCTTTGGCTTCGTCACGTTTCAAAGCGAGGACGTGGTGGACAAAGTCTGCGAGATTCATTTCCACGAAATCAACAACAAAATGGTGAGTCGCCAACCGGGCAACAAAGCCTGTTTGTCGAATGAAGAGAGCACTCTCTCTCCCCACTACGTGCCCGCAGAGGTGGTATCAAACGGTATTTGCCTTCCGCTATCCGTCTGCGGATACGGCGTCGAGTGGAATTAATTTTCCGTATAATTGAGAAGGGCTGCCGTGGTTATTTGCATTTGACACGCACGCACGTGAACACACGTACGCGCGTCCACAGGCGAGTAGATCATACACGGAAGACGAAAAGCAGGTTCTGGAAAGCCCGTCATAGTGGAGATCGCGCAGGTCCTACGGTAATAGACAGTTCTGTTTGTCGTCTACTCCCACCAAAATTCCGCTGACGTCGATCAAGGATTTACCGGATGCCACTTCTCGTTACCCATAAATCCATCGCCTAGACGCTCCTGATTCTGTCAATAATCTTCGAAAACCCCTGTAAGGCATTAGCCACTTACTGGATGAAACAGCCTTCTGCTGAGAATGACTAGATTGCATTAGAAGATTACTCTGATTAATTATCATCGGATCGCCCTTCATTACGCGTGCCAAAACACAGATACAAATAGATTTGTAGCGGAGATGTTGGTCATGGGATTTCTATATCTATTGCATTTCTTTCTATGTTAGACATTTCTTGTTAAAACGGTTGACCTTGTGCAGAGATGCTATAATACTACGGTTCCTATGCACGTCGTCCCGTCCCCATTTCCACTTTCACGAATCGAAGTCTTAGAAACCAAGTACCCGGAAAATCGACTAATAACTGATTAACGGATTAACCGGTTAGTATTCGAGTATACGGATAGAACAGTTACGCTCGATACACGTGCATTAATCGATTGCACGTCGAGAAGAGAATCTAAATTACGTGTTACCGAATATTCTGACAAAGCTCGTAATTCGTGTTGACATACTTGATTCTCAACGAGGTTAACGCGATAAATTATTAATACTGGCGGTATTTGTTAATAGTAGATACTTTAATAACTATTAAAAAACCAAATAATATTTCAACTCTTTCGATCCCTTGCTTCTAGATTTTCTTGAAAATATTAAATAGAATATTTACTAAATATTTACTGCTTGTACAAAACTAGTATGGCATAGTATTGTTATTTGTTAATGTCTCTGTATCGCTTTATATTATTACTATAGATGGATGAAACTGGCCTTTTAAGAGAAACAAGTTTAAGTAGCTTTGAATGGGCAGCTGAATTTAATTCGATTAGAATTTCGTTCTAGGAAATCTGTCTGGACCAGTTGATTGCCATTTGACGTTAATATGTATACATTCTTGTATAACTGAATATTAGACGCCTAAACGGTTACGTGTTGAAATCTATCAAATCAACGTTGTCCACGACAAACTGACTAATATCCCCCGTTGTGTTCTCTATTACTATAAACACTAATCCCAAATAATAAATGGGCTTCACAGTAATGTTTGCCTGAACCAAATCGTCCCATGTTCCATGTTTGTCGATTTTTAAATTTTTGGAAAGGTCAAATCCACTGTGTTCTATGTATTATAAATCCCATTCAGTGATTTAACAGCGCGACAACTAGAATCCTTTCCAGAAGGTAAAAATGAATGTCCTTCTAATGTACACTCAGAGACAATAGGTCTAGGTGAAGAAGAATAGTCTCTGAACGATTCAAACTCTAGAGGGTTAAAAGCTTAGATCAGACGATGTAACAAAACATACGTTTCAAAAAATCTAATCTGTACCTAAATTACACGAGTCACACGAATCCCTATAAAATGCCAATAAATTATACAACGTTTAAATTTTATAGTATGTTATAAATCCAAGGAATAAATTATTAATTATTAAATGCGTACCATTGCGTTTTGGAAATGAATTCGATACGTGTAACCTATATGCGACAACTTGCGTGATTCACTATGAAATATTAATGTTCTCTCGCTGATGCAGATTTCATAGTTATTATTAGTTAATAATTTATTCCTTGGATTCATAACGCGTATTTTAATTAAAATATCCTGATACCATGGGCAGAACATTGATATTGCATAGCAATTCGTGCGACACGTTAAATATACACGTTGCGTATGTAGGTTGATCGCGTTGAAATTAAGTGTTTCGAAACGATCAAGTCGTCGTATCGCACGATTGACAGTATAGTGGTTACACTCTTCTACGTTGTGCATACCGCGGTAAGACCAATCGGCATATCGATAATTAGAAGCAGGACATACATTTGACGTACCGTATTCTCGTAAAACAGAACTAATTAAGGTAATTATTTACCACGTTAACGATGTCATCGACTACAATGGCCTTTAAGTATGCCGAAGAGGGCAGGTTACTGCGTAGTCTCAACCAATAGTCAAGAGTCTCAGAGCCTCAACTGAAAAGTTGGCATTTGGATTGAAGGACTGTGACGTCCATAACGAGAAATTTATAATAAAATCAATCAATTTTTCATGTACCAATCTTTTAGTTCAACATATCTAGATTCTCTTTTATTCTTGCCAAGACTTCCAATTAGTAGAATGAGATCTATTTATCTATAGAGTGTTATAACGTGTATTAGAAGACGCGATTGTATTCTATGATGTAGACTTTAAACACTTATGGCTTGATAACTAACAGTGAGAGACCATTAGTTTTGTCAGTAGAATATTTGTAAATCTATCTTCTTTAGTGTGTATACTTCAAGGTTTGTGAAATCGGTGAGGACGTTAATATTGTAAATTACCTGAATTAATGCCGCACAGTATACTGTGCATCCGCCAGATGTTGACTATGTACGGGAATGCGGGTTCAATTGATGTCTAAGTACCTATTCTAGTTCAGAGTCTAATAATTTCACCTTCCATAATACGCATTGTCGCTGTTGATCGAAATGATCAGTGGTATGTGTTAGGGAGAACCTATAGGTGGGGGACTATGAAAACGTCAAAGGTGGGGTCAGGGAAGTACTTGCTTCGCTTGACCCTTGTGCCATCTGACTAGTCATATTCTTGCAGTCACAGAGTACTTACACGAATCATACGCAAAAAGAACATTAGAGGAAGATAAATTTGTATGTTGGGCTTCAATAGTGGACAATATTGGGTCAGAGTTGGGCACATTTTAATCACAAACAACCAAGAGTTCGTTCAAATATCATCTAACTCTGCAGGAAAACAGAAAACCAAAAAATCAGGTGATCTGTTTATTGTGCTTACGATCTCAAAGGTTCTTTTAAACCGAGAAAAACTAGTTTACGAGTGACTCTGACTTCTTTGTTCGTTATTCGTGTATGAAATTTGCCCAACGAGACATTCGAGGCTCTCACAGCTTCAGTTCTGACAGTTGATACTGATCGAGTATTCTAGCGTTCACAGTATGTCCAACGACGAATAGTGTCGTTTCAGGTCTAAAGTTACCTACTGTGGAAAGCTCGTCCAGTATCGACTGTCAGAATTTGTTCGACTCTATACCGGGTATGCTGAAGGTCACTACTGACGATCCGTTTAAATTTCAAGGTCGAGTGCAAGAAAGCACAGCCGAAGGAAGTGATGCTCCCGGCGAACCTGGCGAAGACGCGAGCGGCCAACAGAGGCACATACGGTGAGTTGGTGATGGTCGCGACACCCACCCCCACCACCTATCGTTACGCGCCGTATCCCCTCCCAACGGCCGCTGCCGCGGCTGCACATGCAGCTGCAGCAGCCTCCGCTGGAACTCCCCACCACCACTTGCTCGCCCCGATAGTCGCTACCGCCGCACCAAACGCGGCCGCTACCTACCAATACGCCACCGGCGCAACCGCGCCTGCGGCTGCAGCTGCGGCCACCACCGCGGCCGTCTACGACGTCAAGAGGGCGCTCGCAGCAGCGGCTGCGGCCGCGGCCGCGGCCTCATACAGGCCTCATCCGGTCGCAGCCGCAGCTGCCTCACGGGCCGCCACTCTCACTTACTCCATGAGCGATCTGTTAGGCGTGCAGGGTCTCGACATGGGTGCCGTTTACCATCCGATTCCTACTATCGGTCTATGACCGACGATACTCACGCCCCTCTCGCGGCCCCAGTAGTATGGACGCGCGACAGGGGTACCAATTTCGCGTATCGGCTGCCTATTAACACAGGAGAACTGGGAAAAAGTGCCCCTGAGTTAAATCCAGATTTATAGAATTTTTTGGAAAGGTTATTCCACCGTTGGTCTGATAGCAGTATTACGTTTATTTCTCACGCGTCGTATCGCTCGGGGGCGTTCTTTATAGACACTTGCAGTACAGATACTCGCTTCAAATACATTTTGTAGTGATATTTTCAATTTGATATTTTGAAGTAGGAATTGTTTGATAGTTCTTGCATCGTTGTTTTTCTTTTAAAGGGATTTTCATTTTTGGTAGCAGAAAAATATTGAAAAATGTAAGAGGCCCTTTCTGAAGGTCTGTTTTTCAAGAAAGCTGACACTTTTAATTAACCCGTACGAAAATTAATTAAAGTTGGCTGTGTGTAATGTTAAAATGAATGGTTTTATAGAAGTCCAATCACTCTTTTTCATGTATTTTCTAACGAAAGATATAATTGCTCCTATTTCAAATATTCGTTGCCCGTTAGATCGTCAATTAATTGTCTATAAATTCTAATTTAAAGCAAACAAAAGAAGCAAATTTCAATTTATTTTGCTGTTATTTTTTAATTTCAGAACAGTCCAATTTATTCATTTTGCAGACCAATTTACGAAAAATGAGACTCTTTAAAATTAATAATATAACCGTTAACTGAATTCAACGCTGCGTCGAAATCTTGGTACGAGAAACTATACATGCAATTATTATATAATACATATTACAAGTTCTCAAGCAAGAATTAATGATAACCCTCTGCAAAGGACAGTCATCATAATCAATAACTGAAATTTCTTTCTGTCGATATTATTTGCTCTTAGAAACGTTCAAATTGTGGCCATTCATTGAAAACCAAAAAACAAATATTTTTTCATCACAGTACGATGGGTTTGGGTTAATTGATATTCTACCGTATCTATTACCGTCCAATTAAATAAATAACCGATTGTACAATTCATCGATATTATGATATTTATTAAATATACCCGGCAAATGGACGCTACTTCTTTGTTGATATAAATGAATAAAAATTTCGCGTTTCACGAATTATTTTAGGAAGTTCGCGTCTCTCTGGCAATAGTTGCCAATGCTTGTTATATTCTTCCAGCGTCCTGAATTTAAAATTAATTTGTTGAACGTTATTATTTATCTAAGCGAACAATTTCAATGGTGTTGTTTTTTAATCTTATTATATAACAGTGGCAGATTGTAGTCGCTTGGTTTCAATACCGTAAGACTGAGTCAGTATTCGATGCATCGATGCAGCGTTAATTTCAATTAATTTCCCTCGGATTAATTCAAATGTGTCAGTTTTTTAAAAAAATTATCCTATAAAACTAGGAAAAATAATTCAACGAACATAGAAGTGCCGTGATTGCAAAACATCAAAGCGAGTAACTGTACTTTTGCTGTCCTTTGTTGCGTAGACTTATCGGTTTGGACGTTGGTGTAGGTGGAACGTAGAACACGCAGGAATAGGAGCGTAGATTTTTATTTTTGGTACCAACTATATGGAAAATTCGTGCCAAAGAACGGTACAAATTCGGTAGCGTAGTTAGTAGTGTCTTCGTTAGACGAAAGTTTGACAAATCAATGCAAATGGTGGGCTGAAATTTTGTTGAATTGAACTTGAATGGTATCCCGTTTTTATTAATATCGTTTCTAAGTAAAAGAATTGTTTTTACGTCGCCGTGTCTTTACTTAACGATACACAGTTTTTTTAAGCGGGATACCGTGTGCCTTTTTACGGTGCACGAATACATTCCTGAAGTAGGACTTGTTGTCGCCTTCGTTTTCCAGAAAGTATTAGTATTAATATTCCATTGCTGTTGATTTCCCACCAGGCGTAGAAGCAGATCAAAGACATATCGAAAAGTGCAATAACGTATAGACTAGACGGAACCATTCCTTTTATTCCGTAGATTTGAGTGTGGGGAACGAGGAAATTCTCGCGAGACTGCTCGAGAAGCTCAGTTCGGTAATACTGTGATCGTAGTGAGAGAAAAAAAGATGAGAAAAAGTATTAAACCGCGTAGTGGATCATAGGTCTGTTCGACAGAACACGGTTAGTCACCTATGGGGCCTCATTTGTCTCGTAGCCAAAGAGTAGGTATTATAGCAACGAAACAAACGCATCGCAAAAGACTGGTAGTGTTTTCGTAGTCGATTAGCAAGGCAAATAGTAGGACAATAAGAAGAAGTGTTCAAATTTTCGAAAAGATACGCAAACGGGTTCGTTTCGGTGAGCAACGAGCAGGTTATCGATATATATATATCGAATGTCCCTTCTCTCCGATAAACGCGTTTAATTTCGTTCTCTCGTTAATTGGAACCTCCGATTACCAATGAAATCGAATTCAGAATAATTGCCAATAATTACACCGATGACGTTCGATTCGGAATAGGTCGACAGTCCATCCAGTTCTATTGAAACGTCACCAAAGAAAATTTCTCGAATTAACAGTATCGGCGTTAATTTATTGTAGACGTTTCAATGTTCTCTAAAAAATCATTTTCTCGATGCACGAAGGCAAGTCGAAGGTGTAATTAGCTTAACACTTTATGTTTATCAAATGATTTATTTATCCTCTATTGCATGTTTCAACGTTCAGACTATTTGCCTGCTGCAAGGCATAAATGAACATTTTTCTGAGGAGAGAAGGGGACGAAGTGTGGAAATAGGAGGGAAGAAAGAGTCGGTGGCAAGATGTCGGGTGTCTAGATACCTTTCGAGAGAACGAAGAAGATACAAATTCCTGCCTCGAACGACTCGCGGTCGCGACAACACGTCAATTTACACGTAGATTCTAGACAAGCTCGTAGAAACTTGAACGAGAAGCTTTAAGGTAGAAAAGTTGCCGTTCGAGGTGCCGAGGCGTCGAATTCGAACGGTAATCGGGAAGGGTCTCGAGGCTTCGATCGTCGTCGACATTCTATTTTCCGCGAACGCGAGGGTCGTTCGCTCGATTTCGTGAGCGCGGGGGCGCCCGTTGTCGAGATCGCAGATTGCGAGAATCTCGTCGATGGAAGAAGGGAGAAGACGAAAGGAAAAGGATATATATTTATTCCCAGGTAGCGGCACGCCGTGTATTGTTCCGTGAAGGAGGTGAATTTCTGATTTGCGCGCGACGATTTGTCGCCAGGCATAAATAACAACGCGAATACGTGAATGGTGAAGGCGGATAGCACGTCGGGAGCGCGCGGCAAATGGTCGGCGATAAGTATTTCTCATTCGTCGCGCCTTTCAGAGTATTTTTCGCAATGAATTTCATGAAATTTCATAATGTCGAGAAAACTAAAGAAACCCGCTCCAATACCGTGTACACGTAAAAAAAAATGGAGAGGGACGCGCGAGGTCGGATCTATCTATATGTATATAAATCCGCACGCGAATCTATATACATATACATACACACGCATATAATTAACGTGCATAATTATATGGATATACTGAAACGGAGAAAGGGATTAAAAAAGAAAGAAAAAAAGACGAAAGAAAAAATAAAACTGAATCCATTTTTAGATAACGGCAGACTATATACATATTATATATTGTTTTGTATCTATGTATTTGGTAAACGTCATATAGTATTTGATATTGATATCGATATATTTTGTGAGAGGCGCATTAAAACCTTCTAGTTTTTGTAATAGACCTTACCAGATATACATACCGAAGCATATCTATATCTCTATCTTATACATATCTAGGTAATTAGGTAAAACTTTATGTTGGTACAGACCTTAGTTTATTTAATGACATTTTTTAGGTGATCTAGGTTCGAATTAGTTAGAGCGAATAATTTTTGACGAATTACTATACTATGTATACGTTCCTATCATTGAGACTACTAGTTAACTATAGCTTTTTGGGAAGTCACTATGATACCGTTAGTTTAGATATATACTTTAGGTGTTTCTTCGTGGAGGATCTCGAGCCTCTCGTTTTCCGATCGTCGCCAAATTCGTCTCTCGTTCGAGAATCTGTACAAATTAATATCGATTTCCCGCGAGAAAACATATTTCGAGTCGCGAAAAACAGCCAGAGAGAGAGAAAAAAAAAGGAGAAACGTAGCGTTTTCCACGAAGAATGCATCCTATCAGCGGCTTCAAAGAGACCTATTACAATGTACCTATTACTTAACAAGCTACGTTACATAGTATGTTTATATTACGTTACACGTAATATTATACCTCTCTATAGGGTATATACTAAATATATGTCGTGCGTATACCCGTCTATACCTTATACCCTATACCCCTCGGTAAATACCCCCCCCCCCCCAACTACCTATTACTCGTTATATAGTATTTAACTCTTCTAAGCTATATAGCATCATTTACCTTAATAATAATGCGTGAGACGTGTGTCCTAGAAAGTACGTACTTTGCCCGAGAGGCTCAACAGTGTCAGTTTCGTAAGTAGACCAGATCTTAACATGCGGTTACCTTTCTGTTCACCTTTGTAATGCTTTGTTGGGCCGGATTTTGGTTGTACGGGGAACGTAGCGTTGCGCATAGACAACAACAACAACAACAACGACAGCATAGAAAAAGAACAAAAATATATACTCGGACGAAATGTGCGCCTACGTCGCAGAATTGGCGGTCGCAGCGCAAGTACACGAACCGGAACGATACAAAAAAAAAACAAAAAAATGAAAAAGGATTAAAGAAAAAAAAAAAGAAGTATTTGCGTTTCTTGGCAAATGTTTTTTCGCAACATTCTCTTTCTCTCTCTTCGGAAACATCCAGCGAGGAAGGATCAAAGAAATAGCCGTAAAATTCCGATAGAGTAACTCAATGGGATTCCACGTTGCCAAAGCTATCGATGTGACGTAAATGTTAATCGAGCGGCAACTCGATCGTAAACTCGAGTGGAACGAGCTTTATACGCTCCTCGAAACTGTAAGAGACTATTAATGTTAATGTCGTACGTAAACGTCTGCTTTACGTGAAATCGATTTGTTGCATCTGAGAAAGTACACGTATATTATTATTATTATTATTATTATTATATGCATACATACACGAATTAGCTATAATGACGACTATACATATATACCTACACGTCGCAATATACACACTGCAAATATTTATATAAATGAATAAATATATATATATACACATAAATTATATATATACATATATATAAATATCTAACATAAAAATCTATTTACGTATTATACACGGAATCGATATCTGCCAATATGACAGTGAAATTAATGATATTTAAATAAACACAAGATAATGTTTGAAGCACATGCGAAGTTTTTCATTGTCGTTCGGACGGATTTTGGAAAGAGAGCAAAGTAGAAAAAAAAAAAACGAACTGAAAACGAAAACGATGTCACACGAATGATAAAAGTTGTTGCGTGCTTGACGTAATCAAAACCAGCCCGGTAGAAAGACATTAGGTACGGAATCACTAATACTATTAATATGTATCAGTGTATTTTAATGGCTAGAATAAATGCTCTTATACTTTTTCCATCTGCGTATATTGTGAGAGCAGCGTCGATATGGACACTAGAATAGTGAATCAGTAGTGTAGTAATTGTGGTCGGTGTTTTTTTTCAATATTGTATCGTCGATTTAAATGTGGTAGTGGTGTCGATAATGTGTCGCGTGCCTCGACGAACGAAGTACGATTATCATAAACATCGAGAGCATATGATAAACAAATTTTTGTCGATTCGTCCGATTTTGCAAATGAATATTCAAATGTCTTCCTCGCGATCGCAAGACACATTACCGGCCCTTAGTCGATATCTAATAAGCTACATAGTCAGCCTAGCAATTATTACTTAACGGTAAATGATTAACCAATACCTTGAAGGCTACAATAACCATAGATCATAGGAGGGTTTATTTTGTCGTAGATTGGAAACACCTCGGCCGCGCGTAGTTACTAGTACCTTGTCACAGAATTTAGTCGATGCGCTACATAGTCGATGCGATATACATCTATAAATAGTCAGAAACTTAGTTGTGTGGTCTTTTCAATTAGTATAAAATTATGAAATTTCATGGATGCCTTAATTTCTATCTTTCTATTCTACTGTTCTCCACACTATTTCTTCTTACTATGTTTTTCCTTTCTCTCTATCTAACCTAGAAGGCTTTTAATCCTGATTTCTTGTTTCGAACTTTGTTTTCACTTTTTATTTACCCTTCTCTCATTGTTTGAACCTAGTCATCCGTTACACACGAACCGTCTATTCCGACGAATTTCTGCAACGCTTTGCTTCATATTTAACTTGTCTCCATGTACATATCTTAATTGTCTACGCATACCTTGGCCTGCACGAAGAAAAATATTGTGCACAAAACTTTTATCGGACACGTGAAAAATTAAAAAAAAAAGAAGGAACGTTCGATACGTTTCTCTGTTCTTTTATTATCGTCGTTGCTTTCTATCGACGATATCCTTTCGTCTATTTCCAATCCACCCGATACTTTTCTTCGTGCTTAGTTGCAGAAATTTTTATTGAGACTTAAAAGATCATTGCACTAACCGATATAAAAAAAGTAAATGGAGGGAAAAGAATGATACGAATAAAAAAAGACAAAATTTTAACTGTTTTGATCAATCTGAACTCGGTATTAATGTGATCTGTTTTTCCTTATAGATTTTATGTGGTCCCTGGGAGCATTACCTGATGGTGAGTATAAAATATGCACGAACATGTACACCAAAACGACTCCGATGTCCAGTGACATGTCTACCGTTTCTTAACACGTTTGACGTAAGACCATCGTTGCAATATTCACGAGCCGATCAATCACAAAGGATCCGGAAATATCGTGTTTGTTACTTACGTTGTTAGTTCGAGTCACCGGGCTCGTGCATTATTAACACGCCACCGGGGCTGTCTAGTCGTTTTATATGTTAACCGTGCAAATATTCGTCAATTCGAAGATACATTCGTTCGGTAACGCAATTATTTGTCCAATACCTAAATTGTCACGCGCTCTTTGACATCGCGCGAGAGGAATACGTAAATTGCATTGAAAGCACGAATTGCGTCGAAATTAAATTAAAATATTAAAAGCAAACGTGCACGGATTATTGACTATGCAAATCACGGGGATGATAATTTTATCGTGCACTTAATTGAAAATATTCTAATTAATATTACGGCGTGTAACCGAACAATATTTAATATATCAAATTTTATACAAAAATATTTTTTTAATTTTTTTTAATTCTATTATATATTGCTTTATTGTACGTTCGAAAATTTTTAATTTTGCACTGAAATTACGAGGTGATCGAACTTTGTTTAAAAGAATTTTTAAAGGAACTATTTATATTTCTTTATACGACAATTGTAGATTTCGAATACAGTCGAATCTGTAGAATGTAATAGATAAAATACTTATTCTTTGTTCATAGCTTCAAAAATTATTGAAACTGTAAAAGGATTACATAGTATCGTGTAATTCGTGGTATTGGGAAAAGGACGATTTTTTTGTACAAGAATAAATTAAAATGTTAGGATGAAATTTTTCTATACGAGGTTTTATGAATTAGTAATTACGGGTGCACCTGTTTCGAGCCTCGACTAAATAGATTTTAATATAGAGCTCTGTATTTATATTAAAATTACATTAAAGAAGTGATTTACGCTAAAGTTAGTACAAATCTCCTGATATTCAAAATCATAATGTTTTCGTGTAACTAACAATTTATTACATTAGTTTGTATTTAAACATCTCTAATAAAACAATCAGAGTAACATAACATCAAAATACTAAAGAGTTGAAGAGAATGTTTCCAAATAGAATTCAAAATTAGTGTGAGAATGTTTATATCTTCAAAAGTAATAATTAGATTGTGGATCTTTGTGCAAATTTATATTTTTATTGATAGAATTAATGAAATGGGAACTTCGTAGAGGGTTGTCTCGACCTCTGAATAAAATAATTCATATTTCTTATATTTTTGCATGTTAAGTAAATTCTACAATTTTTCGAGAATTAAAATTACCCATAATTGGATAAACATCATATGGGAGTAAGAGTCATGTAAATAGAGAATATAAAAAAACAATTGTCTATACTTAAATGCACTTGATTAACACTAACAAAAGGATGCAATCTATCCTGTAATAATATCTATTTAATGATTAAAAATGTTCTTTTGGTTGTAAAAAAAATGTTACATATACGAATGAAGGAGAAAAATTATACAATGATATATTTAATAGCATTTGCACCACGATGATTTCGATGAAATACATACTACGTACGGATGAGAAGTTGACTAGACTGATCTGTTATAGTATAGACTACTTCCTGGGCGACTAGAAAGAAGATTGCATTGCACGTTTGCGAGAAGTTGGCTAGCGGGACGGCACAGGGGTCAGGGGAATACTTTGCTTGCTCCACCCACTTTCATCGTACCACCAATCAGACCCACATTGCTTTCGCTAGCCAACATCTCGCGAACGCACTGTACTATAAACAGAGTCAAACCAGCTAATCAACTTCACATATCTGCACAGTACATTACATAACTGCAATTATTTATATTCGTACAATTATCAATTGATTATATATTCAATATTTCACACATTGCAACTCTGTAGCTTTCATCATCTTATAGAAGCACGTCAAAATAGAAAGGGACACGTGAAATTGCAAACTCATATGTAACAATTTTATCTCTCACTTTTAATTTATTTTTGAAATACCCCCTTGCCTCACCACGAATTACAAGACATTCTGTAGATAGACAAAGTTGCCCTCGATACATGACGATATTAACCCCTTCCCGTACTTTAACGAGTCTGACTCGTGATGATTTTGGCCCAAACATGAATATCACGCGCCTGACTCGCGAACAGAAAGTCGACCCAAAAGTAAACATTACGAGCCAGGCTCACGGACCGCAAATGACGAGTTAATTCCTATCAGTACGCCACGAGAGTCGGTCACGATTCTTATAATCTCTGTTACAAAGCAGTTTATCATCAGTCTAGTCTATTTATTGCGCGTTGACGCCTACCGTTTGGACCCGGATTTCGAGCTAAATGACACGGGAAGTGGTTAATACAAACTAGCAATGCATATTATAGCCCTAGAAACGTCGGAGTAAGCCCGAACCAAGAGGAAGAAACAGAATTTAACAGCTTGTTTTGGTCTGTTCGCAGGTTTCCCAGCGGCGTACGCGGCATACGCGGCAGGCCGTGGCTATTCTGGGTACCCTAGTTTCGGACTGCCCTACCCGACAGGTAACCACCTTAGCCTTAACCACCTTAACCACCATAATGCGGCCCACATCGCGCCCTTGAACCTGAATTTGAACCTCATACAGGCGCAGCCTGCCCCCCATCATAATCCGCCTACACCGACACCGCTCTTTTACCATCCCAATTTGGACCTCTACAACGCCATGCCTCTGTGAACTAACTTGTTATAATTAATAACAATTCGACTCGAGCTATGCGCACACTCTAACCCATTGCTACACCGCTAACTGTGCTCTCTCGCTGTCGCTGACGTCTACCGATGTCGTCGATCGATCCGAATCGACCGTGTACGCGTGGGTGTCGGGCGAACTGGTCGAGCCTCGGCTGATATCAGCCGAAGCCAGGCTGGTTCGAAGGAGAGGGTTCGCGTCGAGGATCTACGTTGCACCTCCCGGAGCCTTTGTCTCGAGAACCGGGTTCCCCCGGCCGAAACTCGGCGCGAACAAGGGCTCCGCGCGGCCAGGAACTTTCCGAGACGCGCATTACCCGGCAAACTAGCGCCCGATTATCCCAGGGTTCGTGCTCCTTCGAAACCACCCTCCGCGCGACGAGACGCGAGATCGAACGCGTACCATTTTTTCGCGTTCCGCCGCCCCCATCCGCGTCGAGTCGCATCTAGATAAATCTTTTGCATCGGGGCGAGCGGAGCGCGTCGACGTGGCTGGGAATCTATTTTTTTTTTGGCCAACGACGACTCGTTCCTCGGGAACACGGTCCCCGGTGCGCCTTACGTCCTCCGAAAGTGGGGGACAGTGTACATTATTGGGCCAAGCTTGCTCCGTGATCCGACGATCAACGACTTCCGCCGTGGAAGTTTCGATCGACGAACCGCCAACACCGAGACGCTCGATACGAAGGAGCGGTGAACATTGTACAAAATCGCTATAAATTATCGTATCGGTACAATCTTGTCGAGTTAAGATTTAAGATAGCGGGTAAGGAGGTTTTCGACTCTTAGGGAACTGCCCCGTTCCGTATCTGATCGACGAGACGATCGAGGAACGATCGAGGTACGATCGATTCCGACCGCGCGTGTCCATCGACGTTTACGAATTCGCGAGCAAATTATCGCTCGAATGGGATTCCTTTATCGATGGCGGTAGTATCGTAAATTCGACGGGTTCGCAATATCTCCGAAGAATTGTGTCGTTTTTATTCGATAGCGATAATCGGTTTTCGGGATTGCATAGCTTTTTTTTTACGATTAAATGGCGTTCGCAAAACCGCGAGGCCTTGTGTTTGGCGACTTACGGTAAATCGCACATTGTATAAACTCGTGTTATCTGGTGTTACTTTTTCTTATTTTCGTTCGTGTAAATATGCAAGATGAACTTGATAAGGGAAATGTATATTATTTAGTTTGATGGATTAAACGCGATACGATCTTGATTCTGTATTAATACAATTTTTCTGCCATCGGGTTGAGCCTGAAGGGAATCGTACAACCTCGTTGTTCGAGCCATGTCTTAATACAAAATTGAATTAATCTTATCGTATTTGCACAAAAGGAACGAATACTGTGCAATGCCCTTATTAAGTCACGCTTCAAATATGTTCGTCGTGTAATCGATGCATTAGAAACATTTACTGCGAAAACAAAATAGCAGGACGACTCATACATCTAACATCTTTATTTTTGTCCGTCCAGAAAAAATTGTATCATAAAATTAACGACGATGTCTGAATATATGTCACGTACTATACGAGAATTCGATTGACCCTAATGAATGTAGAAACTGTCCTTCTACAATGGACTTTATAATATTCTTCTACAGAAGTATCTCAAATTGAAATGTATAAATTTAAATATCCATATTAAATTGCGAAGTGAATCAGGAATATAGGATAATATAATTAAATTTCTCGGAAAAGTTAAAATTTCCCAACAGCTTCGGGAGTTGGTGCAATTTCAATCATCATAATCAAGTTTGATAATTTAAAAAGAATGGTAATAATGCAATTATTTAATTGGCGTAGAATTTTTAGGCAATATATCGTTTTTAATGCTCGCGTTTGCGCTGTGAATTATAACCGTAATACGATTTTCTATGCTTTTGCGAGGTTTCTATATACGCACAGCCTGCCGACGTAAAAACGTTGAAAAACTCAATTTACCAAACTAGGACAAGATAATGAGTGGTTGATGTATGGGAAAAGTTAGGTCGTTAAACCGACTCTGTATTTCTTAACTCTGCATTCAATAGCGGATTGCGTGCCTTCAACTATCAATAACAAAACACTCTGCTGTCATAGAATTTTCTTCGAAAGCATCGAGGCTGTGCGACGTAAAACGCTATGAAATTGTTCTCGCTAATCGATTAATCAATTTCAATTAAAGTCTTTCCTCGCGAGTCGTTAAAGCAATGTTTTCCAAATTAGGGCTGTTCAACAATCTAAGAATAGGGTACTTTAAACACGTTTCTATATTTAAAAAATTTCATCAGAATTTAAAAACACTATTCCATTTAATAAATGGGCACTTCCCTAAATTTTAGTTCAAGGAAATTATACAAACATGTTAACTTGAGTCTTCGAAATTCTTTAATTAAAGTGTAGTAACTGTCATTTATTTATTCATTTGCACAAGAATTTTATAAATATTTAGTTTGTCCAGATGCTTCTTTTAAATAATTCTTTCTATATTCAGTAAATAAAATAATCAATCGAAGTCAATGAAACTTCGTTAACGTAAACATAACAAAAATGTTTCGTATATAGATTAGTCCTAAGTTAAACGATCAAACTGTGATTGTTGTTCTATGAACAAAATTAATAATTATTTATATGACATTTATATATTATTTTTATTCATACTACACACTGTTACAGTTTAACCATTTAACTTGGAAATATCCTTCTTTAATGGTGGACCGGGGATATAAAAGCAATGGAAAAAATGTGTAATCATGCGCTGTATTTGATCTTGCTTTCGAGTTACAGCTACTTTTATGCTGCAATAATGTACATAGAGCTGCTTAAGTATATAGAAAGTGCTCGACATGGCCACGTTTAATTCGAATATACTCCTACAGTGAAATTAACAAGACTCGACGAAGTATTTTAACGCTAGCAATAGGTGTTGAGTAAACAATTATTATCAGTTGTTATAGGAAATAAAAATTCAGTGAATTCAAACCTAGGTCGAAATAGACATCTACTTTTAATACAACTTCTTTTAATAATTCATTCAATCGAGTACTCAAAAATTGACTAATTAATCTCCCATTAAGAGATCATCCCTCTGTGGAAGTTGCAAAATTTAGCAATTTTCATGAATTTTCTTAAATCAAATCCAACATTGTGATTCTTTTTTGTAGTTTATTTAACTATATTTTAGGTATACAATCATATTTTTTATACAGTTTTATGTAATTGTTTTTCACTGACGTAGATAATTGTAGTTCTCAAAGTGGTCCAAAACCGAAAAATTGAAAAGATTCCTAATCAATACATTTATCTCTATCATCCATGCAAAAATAAACGATTTATATTAAAAATTGGCAAAATGGTGAATGCTGAAAGTCAAAATTCTATTTTTTTTTTTTAGCTATGATACACTCAACATAAAAATATAATTCTAGTATCGACGAGAGCTAGTAATACGTGGAATAACCCATACGAATTTTAGAGCAATCGGTCATGTAGGTTAAAAAATTATTAGTAACTCGAGAACAAGATCAAATAAAACGTTTATACGAAGTTTTTTTTACTATTTCAATGCTCTCTGTCCACGATTAAAGTAGGTAGCACATACGGCGAAACGCTTTGTACATCTCGGGCGCGAAAGGAAGTTTGGAAAGCACTATGTCGGAGCATCGAATCCGATCGAGCAAGTTAACCCCCGACGAAAGAACTTTGCGCGCCGGCAAGCGAACGAAAATTAAATTAATTAAAGAAAAACCTCGATACGGAAACTCAGTTAGCGATTGAATTTGCGATCGTAAGCGGGTTGGAATTACGCGGACGTATTATGGCCCCGTTTGGAGTTCGCGCGAAGAGATCGGGTCGCCAACGGAACGGGGGCGCAGCTGATTTCGCGCAAGAACGGGAACCGTTTAAAGCTTCGGCCGCGCGAGTTTTCCCAAAGATACATTTAAATCCGGCAGTCTATTAAATCGATCGTAATTTAGGATTAATTGCGCGATCGCGGAACGGGGTAAAATGTCATTGTTAATATCAGGTAGGGGTAACGGGAGCGTGTATCGATTGCGAACGATAGGCGAGGGAACCGCGCCGCGGTTGACCCTGCACGCATAGATATACGTATATGCAACACATATACACTAGAGCAATTAATAGGAAACGTTTCGAAAATGAACGCATCCGTGGCTCGGTATCGACTGATCTAAATCGAAGCGGTTGATTGGAGGTAGTTGCGGGCAAACTTTTCGGGGTCAAGCGCCCTTCGCGTGGAATTCGAACTCGAAATGAAAATCCGCGGTCCATAACGGACGAAGAAAACCAAAATGGAGATCCGTCCTCTGTCCGTGTATCGGGACGGAAATTCACCGACGGAATCGTGCGCTTATTGTTCGCTTCGTTCGCGTCTTGAACGAATCCCAATAACTCTATCATCGATCATTCATCTTTAATTTCGTTTATTTCGGTTTCACGTTCATTAATTCGCGTCGTTAAATAAAAGGTAAACAGGTGGTACTAATCACGTCTGGGCTTTCGTAGGCGTAACACTAGTCTCAAAGAAGCTTCTTTTCGATCCCGTAACTTTACCCTTGCCCTCTGCTGTTCAGCCGTTGCTCTTACACGTCTTACTACAGCCCATTTGTTCCCTTCTCTTTCGTCCATTTCTGGCCATTTGTCTGTCTTGCTCGTCTCTCTTCGCGAACTGTCTCTTTCTCTTGTCTCTTTCTCTGTTCCACTTCCTTCTTTGCGCGCGTGCACCTTGAGTAGATGGTCCGAGAGAAAAAGTTTGAACTTGTTGGTCCCCTGCACTTGTGTACCTCCTCCCCCTAAGCTAGCACCGA